TTAAAATAAAAAAAAAAAGGAAACCCCAGCCCTCCAGTCCCTCAGTGCTCAGGGGGCCCATGTGGCAAAGTTCATGGCCACCCCTGGGACAGAAAGGAGCTGATCCCCACAGGGACCCTTTGTGTTCCCTTCACAGAGAGGAAACCCTCAGGGTGTGCAAAGCACAGGGTCACCAAAGCACAAGGAATATCAGGAACTAAGGAGTAAGGTGCAGACTCTGGGGCCTGGGATAGGGGTGTCACGCAGTCCCTGCAGATCAGAGCTCACGGGTTGTGGGCAGTAACTATAACACATTTCCTTCATATGCTCAGGCTGGGGGATCCTAGTTACAAACAGAATACTGACTTAAAATTGCTGTCCAGATATTTGATTTCTTTTATTCTTTTTCTGACTTGAGTGACTTGCTATAAAAATATTCTTCCTTTGACAAGCTTACTATTTCACACAAGTGACCAAGCTCTGGACACCTGCCTTGAATGTTTTTCCTTGCTTATAAACCTATCGCATTTCTTTTTTGCCCAATAAACAAACTTCACATTCTTAGCTTTTGATGGCAGGTGCTTCCAAATCTTCCTCCAGTTGATGTCATTGAGTCAGTTTCTATACTACTTCCCCCTTTCAAATTCAGATAAATCACATGTGTGGATATTTCACAGACATTCTCTCACACCTCTGTTCCAGCTCTTCCCTGGAACATGCCCCTTTTTCTTGTGGTATCTCTACCTCGTACTTGGAAAACTTAACTGAGATCAAACTGGTGGCATAAAAACTTTTCTTGGCAAGAAATCTAAAAAAAATTGGAGGCCATCCTTTTTACTGCATAGCAGTAAATGTGATTAATGTTTGTTTTACTCTTTATGGAGAGGTTAACGAAACTGTTTCTTCTTTAAAGGAGAATTTGACCCAGCGTTAACTTTCTTACTCATTAGTCTGGAGACTTAATAAAGGTGAATCTTTCTCGGGGTTTAGATTAAAAATTACCCATGACAGGTGGCTGAGAAGGACTCCTTAGGAACTACGCATGCCTGTAGGAAGCCATAATGTGGTCCTTCTTCAAAGTGGTGCCTCTCATAACTCAGTCCCGTAAAGCTAGGACACCGGAGTTGTTACAAGAGATCTTGACTTCCATTCATGTGTGGTTCTAAGCCATGGTGGATGCTACCCCGGCCCAGCTAAGCTGTCACTCAGCGCCTGCAGCAGTCATCTTGGTGGGCTGATGCATAGACCACTGCAAGAGCTCCTGCTGAAGAGAAACGATGATAATGCTAGGGTCCTGCGTTTCTTGTCCTAGGCTCTTCTAAGTAAAGCTGGGCCGATGTGGCTCTGGTTATCTTGTGAGTCTAAGTTTAGTTAGGGGCTCTGGGGGGTACTTACCTTAGCCCTTAACCGTCCTTAGACAGCTCCCTCATGATATGTCTGTTTCATTAACCATGACATCCCCACTACCCAGCATGCTGGGATGTGGTAGAAACTCAATTTATGCTTATTTTAAAAAACTGACAACGGACCTAAAAATTAATAAACGTAATTACCATTTTGGAAGTCTTTGTAAATGCTCATTAAATCAGGGTATTCCTCCCTGTTGACCTCACTGAATAATGCTTCCAGAACGTCCATGTCAAATATCTTCTCCAGTTCATTGAGAACATTGTACATCACTCTTTGTAGAGGGACCAAGTTTTTACATGATTCTTGACAATCCTTAAAAAATATTAAATGGAGAAAGCTTAAATACAGACTTCCAAATTATAGTTGAGCCCTAGAAAGTAATTTTACAGTTAATACATTTCAATTTCCCTATATAGGTATCTTCCTGTGTACAGCTTTAGAATGTTTGTACATTTGTATAGCTACTATATTAAACAAGCAAATCTTTCTTCCTTAAAAATACCCACTTGTGAAGTTGGGCATAGTGGTACACACTTGTAATCCTAATACTCTAGGAGGCTGAGGCAGGAGAATTGTGAGTTTGAGCTCAGTGTGGGCAATTTAGTGACTTAGCAAGACTGTCTCAAAATAAAAAAATAAAAGGGGTTGAGGCCACAGCACAGTGTGAAAGCCTTAGGTTCAATTCCCTGTGGCAAAAAAGAAAAACAAACAAACAAAAATAACAATAAAACAAAACACTGGTGAGTCTGATCTTATCCTGATTTATATTACATGTGAGCAGTTTTAAAGGATAAAGTAGATTCAAAGTTAACTTGTTTGTTGCCTAAAGCCAGGATACTTTGGGAATAGCCTTAGCAGGTGATGCCTGCTGAGCCTGATAGGCTGAAGGAAATTAGATAACCAGTCCCTCTTGTGGTGAACCTAACCATGAGAAAGCAAGTTCATAGGACAAAAGAAGGACTCACTACCAAGAATCTCCAATAGGGCCTATTGGTACAATTTACCCAAATTCCAACCAGAAGTCTAGAAGTGCAAAAAAAAAAGTACAAGAAAATGGAAAAATTGTATAGAAAGCATTCTTTTTAACAGGATTCTATTTCCCTGTGGCTTTAATATTCTCTGATCTAGATTTTAAAATTCAATATGAAGTGAAATAAAATGCTCTGTGAATTGCTATTTCAATAAAATTTGATAAGATTATTCATCAAGCCATTAACATTATTTTTAATATTTTGTTTATGTTTCATTATATGAATTTCATGGATTACCACGTATCAAATGTACAAGACATTGCACATAGACAGAGTACACCCATTTCTGACCTGGGTTATCTCCAGTGCCATTTACCTGGCCCCAGAGGGCATTGTGGGACAGCAGTCCTTCCATTAGATCCAGGGAATCTCTGCTTCTTTCCCTCTCTACCTTGCAGGAGTATTTACAGAAATATGAGAGAAGTACAGAATAACAGGAGACTCATTAATCAGCTAAATGTATCCTGAAGTTTGGGCCTGCTATATAAAAACATGACAATTTGGAGCTTGTTTATTAAGTTATGAAATAATAAATTTCACTTACTTCATACATTTTGTTGGTGATCAATTCACGGTCACGGAGACCTTCGAGGAAAGGAAATGACTTGTTTATTGCATATGAAATAGGTACTTTATGTCTTTTGAAGCATTTGAGTAAAATCTTCATAGGGTCCCCTCCATCTTGGACATCCGTGACCATTCTAGGAGAAAAAGGTACCACAGAAAAGTGGCCATCAAGATTCTGAGATATTTGTAAGAACTGTAAGATATTATACGTGGACAGGCTGTGAGGAACCAATATACATAAAATAGGTGGTCCTGAGCAGCATTACTTAAGTAAATGGAATTGAAGCAATAAGCAAAGGTGTCATACAAAAATCATGGAAGTTACATATAAATTGTATATAGTATAGGACTTTAAATGTCCAGTTTGTTCTGACCAAAGCCTTTATAAAGATATTGTCACCTAGATGTTATAAAATTGTTTTGAATTAAAAGATTTAAATTCCTACAAAGTTGAGAGGAATTTAAGTTAAATTCCTACAAAATAAAGCAATAAAAAACAGTGAAAAAAAAGGAAATCCAACGTTGAAAATGTATCTTACTTAGCAGCTGAGGGAAAAATAAATCTTGGAAAGATTAAAAATAATGTTCCTCTCTGACCTGTTAAGAGAGAAATACCATCCTACCTTTAAAAACATAAATATATACTATGGTTTAAAATTAATTCATAAATATATACTATGGTTTAATAATGATGATGCTATGATAAACACAAATTGAGAATTTCCCAGAATATTGATGAAATTTCCTGTACAATCTGATTCTGATTTGTGTTAATATATGTCTATACTATAGTTATATATATTAAATCTTTTGGGGTACCTAAATTTCAGAAATTGCTGTTGTTCCCTGTAAACATGACTTTATTTTATTTTTAGGCATTTTATATTTTTATTTTAAAGAGAGTAGAAAAAAAAGAACAATAGCAAAATACCAGCATCACAGACATAAACAAAACAAAGCGAGAACAGTAAAAATGATACAGGGTTTCAAAACAAAATGATACGAATTAACAGTGGTTGTTATATTACATATTGTTATCTTCAACTAAGTTGCTCAGATTACCAGATGTAAGAATGGAAGATTGTTCAAATCATTAAAGAGAATAAAAAATAATCATTAGATAAACCATTAGAGACAATACAGAGTTTCACTAGACAAGATGCTAGGATTTCACCAATTATTGTTGTATTGAATATTGTTGTCTTCAAATTAGTTGCTCAGATTACCAGATATAAGCATGCAGAATTAGTCATAATATAAAAATTTTTAAGCATCAACTGTTCCTTTCAATAAATCATCAGACATCAGCAGTACAGTTATCCCAGCCATCTCTCTCTATTTATTTATTTATTTTGGCCTTCCTTCTTTCTTCCTTTTTCTTTTTTCCCTCATCCCAGTTGTTCCTTCCTTTGAGAAATTTCTTTCCCTTTCATATTATCTATTGTACGTTTTGGGTTTTATTTACTCTTTCAAGTTCTTACACTAGGGAGACAATATGATGTTTACAAATCTGGGTCTGATCTATTTCACCTATGAGTATGGTCTCTAGTTGCATCCATTTATCTAGAAAAGCCTCGAGTTTATCTTTTTTTACAGCTGAGTAACACTCCATTGTATAAAAATACCACATCTTTTTTATTTATTCCTCAGTTGATAGGCATTTGGGTTGTTTCTAAGATTTAGCTATGACAAATTGTGCTGCTATAAACATGGGTGCCCATATATCGCTGTGGTATGATGTTTTTAATTCTTATGGGAAAATATCCAGAAGGGGAATAGCTGGGCTAAGTGGGACCTTTAATCCTAGTTTTGTGAGGAATCTCTAAACTGATTTCCACAGTGGTTTCACCAGTCTGCACTCCCACCATCAGTGGAGAAGTGTCCCTTTTTCCCCACTGCCTCACCAGCACTTGTTATTGGTTGATTTCTTGATGATAGCCGTTCTTTCTGGGGTGAGATGGAATCTCAGTGTTGTTTTAATTTGCATTTCTCAAATGACTAATGATGTTGAACATTTTTCATGTATTTACTTGCCATCAGTATTTCTTCATCTGAGAAGTGTGTATTCATCTCAGATGCCCATTTTTGGATTGGGTCTTTGATATGAACACGATTTTACACCTGAGCCTAAAATCCTGATTCATAGTGATAGCGCAAGAGAGACTCCATGTTCTGTTTTAACTCCATACTAAGAGAAGCCACTGAAGCTGTAGTTGACCCCCTCTCTTCGCTCCTACCCGTTGGTTAGTTATCGACCCATTTAAAGGGGAGCAAAGTCATAAAATGGGAACAGAATAAACAGGACAAATTGGGAAGTAGGCTAAAAGTTAAACTGTAATGGTCACTTGGAAAGTGGAAGTCCAACAGCTCCTGAGAAGGTAAACTTTGTGCATTCTTGTAAGATTCCCAAAAATGAGATAATGGTTACTATGGAGATATAAAATGTACTTAAACTGAAGGTGAGTTTAAGGTGATCAGGATGGACATCTTCTCTGGCTTCTGGTTAGAGACTGTCTGTCAGTCAGCTCCATAACGCTTTGTTCATTCCTGCTCTCCCAGTCTCTTGTGAATGCCATTCTCCTTGATCTCATGATCTCACTTGCCATATCACCAGCTGATGAATTTACTGCGCTAATAATATTTTAACCAACATCTTTGTACTTCTAAATGTTATGAAAACTGAAATCTTTATCTACCAGAAGAGAACCATGGACAGTTCTCAATATGCAACAGGAAATAATAACACCAAGTCATACTAAATTTGTGCTGCTATAAACATGGGTGCCCATATATCGCTGTGGTATGATGTTTTTAAAAAGCACAAACAGGAAATAATAACAAATAATGAATAATAAATAATAATGATATTTTTAAAAAATAATAATAATAAATAAATAATAAATCATAATAAATCATAATGATGTTTTTAAAAAACACAAACAGGAAATAATAACACCAAGTCATACTAAATTTGTTTCAAATTTCTGTAAAACAAAAGTTTCTGGCTAGAGACTAGTTGAAAGAGGCCTAGTCTCCTTTTTTATTAACAATATGTTTCTTCAGAGATAACAGAGAATATAGATTCAGAATGACAGAATGGCAGAGGACAATGAAAGAATGAGAGATTTTAACCAAAGTTTGAGATAAAAATAAAAGCAGTCAGAGGAATCCTAATTGCAGTTGTAGGTGGAGGATCCTTCCAGAGGTCAGGAAAGCAGCCGGTGGGCCTGAGGAACATGGAAGAAGGAGTGGAGACTGTCAAGGAGACGGGGGTGAGAAGCTGATGAGTTACCCAGATGTGGAACAGAACAGTGCATCTCAGTCCCTTCAACCACGTGTGGCACATGTTGGCCAAGCATCCTCCCAGGGACAAACTGCTGCCATTTCCATGTGCTAATCTTGCGTGTACTAGATTTCACCTAAGTGGGAAAATGTATTTTGTATGCTTTGAGTCTGGCTTCTCTTGTTCATCATCCACGTGGCTATGTTTAGCGGTAGTTTGCTTCTTTTTATTGTTCAGGGGTATTGTACTGTGTGAACATACCATTTGGTTTACTCATTTTCCTGTTGACGGACTTGGATTGAGTCCAAGTTGGAACTAATATGAATAAAGCTTCTGTTCTTGTACAAGTGTTTTGGGGACAAGAAGTTGGATTATGTAGGAATATGTTTAGCTATTTTAGAACTTTTCAAACTTTTTTCAAAGACTATTAGACTTTCTAATGTTGGCCATTCTTGTGTGTGTGTGTGTGTGTGTGTGTGTGTGTGTGTGTGTGTATGTGTGATATACTATCTCATTTTAGTTCCAGTCTGTATTTCTTTAATGACTAATGATGTTGAACACATTTTCATGTGATTTTTAGCAATTTTTTACTCTTCCTTTGTGAGATAGGCCCATTTATATGACTGGGATATCTTTTACTTATCAATGTATAGGTATTTGTTATTAATAGAAATATATTTTTTTGATTTGTGTATTGTGAATACTTTTCCCTATATTTAGCTTGCTTTGTATTTTCTTAACTATGTCTTTTGAGGAGAAATTTTTAATTTTGATGAAGTCCATCTATTATATTTTTTCTCTGTGCTTAATGAGTTTAGTATCTAAGAAATCTGTCTACTGCAAGGTCATTAAAATATTCACCAATTAATTTACAATATTTGTAAACTTGGTCTGTTTCTGGACTTTCTATTCTGTACCATTGATATTCTTATCTCTTCTTATGTCAATACCATTTTGAATTGACTTCTACAGTTTAAAGAAAGTCTTGAAGTCAATTAGGAAGAATTGTCTTAGCTTTCCCTTTCCTCACTAGTTTCCTACTTATCTTTAGAATCAGTGAATACCTACAAGAACAGCCTTCTGGATTTTGATTGAGTTTTCACTGAACACATAGATAAATTTGGTGAGAAGTGACATCTTAATATTATTGAGCTTCCAGTCTGTTAACATTACACATAGCTCTCCATTTGTTTTCTTTTCAGTTTTCTTAGTAGCCACGTACATCTTTGATTAAATTTAGTCTTAGTTATTTGATTTTTTTGGTGCTACTTCAGGTAGTATTGGATTTAAATTGCTTGTTCTTATTCCATGGAAATAGATGTTTTTAAAAAAGTATTTTTTTTAGCTCTTTTTTTTTTTGGTAAAAAAGTATTAACTACTGATGTATCACCTTGGTAAATCCACCAAAGTATTTATAGACTTTTGTTTCACTTTATAGAAAGTAATCATGTCATCAGCAAATAAAGACTGTTTTACTTTTTCCCTCAACAGTCATTGCCTTTTCTTATCTTATTGTACTTGTTAGGTATTGAAATACAGTGTGTTAGTGGGAAGAGTGGGCTTCCCTGCCTTGTTTTCAATCATAAGAAAAAAAGCATTCACTAAGCACAGTGTTGCACATACACATGCATACATACACATGCCATATGCACCATAGAGAGATTTATTCAATAATTGGTTGAACACATAATGGTGGACCTACAAAATATATCACCTAGTTACTATTGTACGCATCCTGGTTGTGTAAGTGTAGTACACTCTGTGGTTTTCACACATGGGCTCCAGATCTTTGACTAGATTCTTCAGGTCTCTAGCATGCAGAAAGATCTTTTGCATTCCTCTGCATTTGACTTTTGGGAGGAATATTATAAAATAATATTATAAATTAAGTGTCCTGTTTAAAATCTATTCCCTTGCAAACACTTACTACAAGAAGTCTCCATGACCCTGTAATTCTTACATTCCGCATACCTGTAAAAGCAACTTTATATGGATGACCCAAGGTCTTCTGCCAGTTTGAGCAGTAGTCAGATCCCTTTGGATCATGGCTGCAAAGGCATCTGAGGGTTTTGGTGGTTGAACATGGTGAAATGAATCCTAGAGAACAAATTTTGTGGGTCCTTTTCCAAGAGGAGACACAGGAGTTCTGTCAAATGAATGAATTACATTTTTGCACCTTTTAAGCTTGAAATGGGTAGGGTCTTGTTGATTCCTGAGATGGCCCCAAGGCATCTTTTTTTTTTTTTTTTTTTGTCCTAGTTCAAAGTATTTGCTTTCTTTTTAATGGCAAGAATATCTTCAGCAATCACACTTTATTTGGCCCCAATCTTAACATGCTTGTTTTCTGGCTGAACTGACAGTTTTTCAAATCTGCTACCTTACAATTATCTCCATGAGATCAATTAGTTTGTTGTCTTTAAACTTGGTCTCACAAAAGTATAAGGGCTTGGACAAAATGTAGACAAATTATTTGCCAGAATGTAATGAATGCCCTCTGTTCCCATCTGAAATATCATGAACCTGGCCTTTACTCTCCACATTCCTATCAGCATTCTGGTATTATAACCCCTGCCCAGAATTTCCCATCAGATGGTGCTTACAGTATTTTTGGTTTTCTCCAGCCTGCTTCTCCCAAGTTTTCCATATTCCTCCATAAATCACTTCCAAAGCCTTTGACCCAACCAATCAGTTATGGTCATAGCAACTACACCACTCCTGGTGCCAGTTCTCTGTATTAACCAGTTTTTCATTGCTGAAACAAAATACCTGACATATATAATTTAAAAGGGGAAAGGTTTATGTAGGGCTCAAGGATTCAATCCACAGTTGGCTGGTTCCAAGGCAGAAACATCATGGTGGAAGGACATGGCAAAGAAAACTATTCTACTCATGACATTCTGGAAGAAGAGTGCAGGGGAAGAGCCCAACAGGAAGGGACTAGGGACCAGATGTAGTCTCCAAGGTCACGCCCTATGACCCACTCAGACATACCCAGAAGTGTGCTTTATCAGTCTCCTAGGAGTGTCTAAAGCCAATCAAGCTGACACTGAAAATTAACCACCACAGACATATAGAACTTGCAATTTTTAAACTTGAAACAACAAAATTGTAAAGGAAATAATTAATCAGGCATAATAGTAATCATACACATGTATTTATAAACATCAGAAAGATAGGATATATATATAAAGAAAATAAAATTTTGTTGAAAATTAAATAAGATATAACTAAATGGAGATATACAAAATATTCTCAGGAATACAGGAATTTTAAATCTGATCCTTCTGAATGTGTGGTACACTTGCCTGAAACCCTATTAAAACCTGATAAAATAATGTAAATATTATGACAGAACAGGTAGCTAAGTCAGACAAGAAAAATACTGAAAGAAAATAGATTGAGGAAAATTTCCCTTAAGAGTTTTTTTTTTAAAAAGCAATAAAGGTATTAAAGGACAGTGTAGAAAAATATTTTACTATATATATGGAAAAGAGTTAATGTATCTGAATACAAATATATGAGTCTATTAATTAAAAAAATTAATAAAGAACCAAAAGGAAAATGCATCTGAACAGGCAGTTTAAATAAGAGAAAATTAAAGTGTGCAATAAATAAAAACACCAAAACTAAAACATTAATGACAAACCCATTAAGTCTGCAAACAGAATCTCAGCAGTTATACTGTACTATATAGTTAGATGATTCAGAGAAACAGACATTCACTGTTGGTATGAGCACAAATTACTACAGCTTCTGAAGAAAAGACCTAGCTAGACCTACTGAATTTTAAGATGCCTTACATGTTGACCAGTAGTCCCACTTTTGGAACCTAGTCTATGGGAATAAAAACATTAATATGGATCTTATAGAAAAAGAGCTCCATAAGTTTCAATGACTCCCAGTTTCCCCCAGAGTAAAATCCAGATCCTTTCACTGTGATTCAAAAGATCAGAAATATAACCCAGCCCTTCTCTCCTCTCCCTCCTCACTTCTCTGTGGCCATATCCACCTCTTTGCTATTTCCTGTCAGCATTTGACATGCCTCAATCCCAGAGACGTGAAACTGGCTATTTCTTCTGCCTGTGTGTTCGTTGTCCCATTATCCATACAGTGAACTCCTCATCTCCATTCAGTATTTGTCCCAGGGTCAGCTCAACAAGGGTTGTTTTGATCAACTTATCTAAACTTGCAACATCAACTCTTCAATGTGCCTTTTGCCGTAATCCCTTAAGTCTATGTTTCTTCCCCATACCTTTAGCACTTCCTTCCCCCTTTTCCTTTTCCCCTTCCCCTTCTCCTTCTCCTTCTTTTTTGAGACATGGTCTTGCTGTGTAGTCCAAGCTGGCCTTGAGTTCACTTTGTAGCCCAGGCTGGCATCAAACTCACAGCGATTCTCCTGCCTCTGCCTGAGTACCGGGAGAATAGGCTTGTGCCACCCCACCCAGCAGCACCTCCTCACATTAAATCACTTACTTGTTTTTTAATTTGTTATTTATTGTCTTATTCATTATGTCTCTTCTTTCATAAATATGTATGCCATTGGGCAGGAATTTTGTCTTTATACATTTTCTTGGCACCTGATACATATATGATACTCACTGTATACTTGCTGATTTGATTCTAAAGTATGAAAGTAGTTTTTGAAGTATTGTTTCATGTAGAAAACAATGACACTGACTTCCAAATCTGAAAACAACCTGATTATCTATCCAGCTGAATGGCTCAGTACATTCTGGTAAGTATATAGTTTGAATATTTCATGGTCATTTATTTCTAGTAATTTGGATGGAAGGTCATAGATTTATTGATGAATAAAAACTTCATATTAATACAATGTTTTATATAAATCAAACCAATACACTTTTAAAATTAATATGTAAAATTCAGAATGAATGTTGGGAAAGGAATGAAATGCTACAACCAAGGTTAGTAATACTGACTTACTGAACAGAATCTGCATTCCATCTAGGTCCCTTGAGTTCCTTCATTTGTTTTTTGAGAGATAACATGAGACAAAATAAAAATATGACACCAAATAGAACAAGGCTTTAGAGTAAGCATATCTAATATTTCCTCGGCTTATGAGTTGATCTTGTTTCTATAAAGCAACTGTGATAGTCAGCTTTCTGTCATTATGACAAAGTATCTGAGATAATCAAGTTACATGGAGGAAGGGTTTATTTTGACTGGTGGTTTCAGTGATTTCAGTTCATGGTCCTTTGGTCCCATTTCTTTTGGGCCTATGGTGAGGTAGCCTATGGCAGGAAGCTTATGGTAGACCAAGATGATTAACCTCATGATGGCCAGGAAGCAAAAGAAAAAAATAAAAGGAATAGGTTGGCGTCTGTTATGACTTGTATCTAGATGTCTCCCAAAACCTCATGTGCTCATATGTGTGGCTTTTGGAGGTGGCTGGATCTAAAGTGTGTGAATGTAGGGTAACGGTGCGTGGTAACTAAATTAGTCTACTGATTGATTTAGCATAATTCTGAGTGTGGGTAAGGGGAGGATCCACCTTGGGTGTGGGTGGCACCACCTAAAAGGCTGGTAAAATGGAAGGGATAAAAGGGAGAGGCAGGCTGGATGCTGCTGCCTCTCTGTGCCACTCCATGGACTATTTCTCCTCTGCAGTGCCCTTCTGCTCTAGCCGGCCTTGGAACAAGCTGGCTATGAATTGAAACCTCTACAAACTGTGAGTTGAAGTAAACCTTTACTTCTATAACTTCAGTTGTCTTGTATTTTGTCTCAGCAACAAGAAAGTAACCAAGACAGAATCTTTGTTTGTTTGTTTGTTTTTCTTCCGGTACCAGGAGTTGACCTCACGACCTTGTACTTGCCAGGCAGGCACTGTGCCGCTGAGCTAAATCCCCAGCCCCTAGGACAGACTCTTAACATCCACTTCAAGGACATGTCCCCAGTGACCTAACTTCTTTCCATTAGGCTTCTGTCTTGGTTACTTTTCTCTCATTGCTGGGACAAAATACCTGATGCCCAAAATTAAGGAAGGATTTATTTCGCATACACTTTGTGGAGGTTTCAGTCCATACTTGGCAGGTTATAAGTCAGAGTGGCACATGTCAGAGGGATACAGCTCATGGCGTCAGAACACAGCAAAGCAACAAAAAACCCACAAAAGCCAGGAATAGCCACAAGCAGCCTCTTGCTCTCCCTTACATATGCAAACTATCCACCCCAGGGCGGGTGCAGCTCTCACACCCATAATCAATCAAATTCTAAAAGCCTGCCCCATGACCACAGGAGGCTTTGGGGAGACACCCAGACACAAACCATAACAGCTTCACTTCCTAGATGTTCCAGTACCTACCAGCTGGAAACTGAGCCTTCAACACAGAAGTCTTTGAATATGTACAGTCCAAACCTTAACAACAATTCACTTGGCAACTTAGATATCTAAAAGTTAAGTTTCCAAACCCCAAAATAAAAGTAAACAAGAAAATGGTTAGGAGTAAATTTAACAAACAATATAAGATCCACATGTTGAAAACTTAGAACATCTCTGAGAGAAATTAAGAATCTAAATAAATAGATATTTATGTTCACGCACTGGAAGATTTTATATTTTTAAGATGGCAATTCCCCCTCAACTGACCTACAGGTTCAATGAGCCATAGACTGAGTGAAATTCCTATGGTTTATGTCAGAATGCAAAGGATCTACAACAGCCAAAACAATCTTGAAGAAGAACCAAGTTAGAGAAGATTATACTTTCCTACTTTAATATTTTTGTGTGAATTGAGATTTATTTATTTGAGATAAATAAAACTCAAATGGAACAGAACTGACAGTGCAGAAATAAATTCTTATGTTTGTAATGAATTTAGTTTTTTAAAAAGTGCTATGACAATTCAGTGAGGAAAGGGTATTTTTTTTTTTTCAACAAATCATGCTAGGACAGTTGGATATCAGCATGCAAAAATGATTTAGACCTTTACCTCACACTATCCACATAAATCAACCCTGAGACCAGAGTCAGCTTCACATGTATGTATCCTGTACAGTAACAGAAGGCCCTGTTCCTGGTTTAGAGCTCTTCTTTCATTATTTTGTAACTCTTAATGATTTGTGGACAAGGATACTACCTTTTTCATTTTTCACTGAGATCTTCAATTATGTAGTTGGCTTATG